TTGACATGCTTCATTAAAGAGAGAAGGTCCTGCTCATGAAAAGCTGTCACTCCTAAAGCCTTAGGCCCTGATTGTCAGCTGGTAGGAATTGGCCTCTGTGAAGCGCTCTCTGTTCACACAAGCTGCTGTTCCTGCCCTTAGTATTTTGGTCTGTTTCATTGCTTTTTTAACACATAACCCAACATCCTTCTGCCTGAACCTCATCTCTAATTTGCATTTCTGACCTTCCTGCTTTATGCCTTTTCCCTGTGCACCATGAGGCTTCTTCCTTCTCTTCCTAATCAGTGTTTAAAGCCTACAAGCTTTAAACACTGATTTAAGCATTTTTATCACCTCTTGGAAAATAGACCTAATTCTTCCTCTCAGCTGCACACAGGTAGTTCTGATGAACATCGCTGGGAGTTGTCCGTGCCCCCTTCCTTCCAGGGCAGCAGCCCGCTTACAATGTATAGATGAACTAGGATTTAGTCCAATGTCTATAATGATCTGTAATTAATAAAGAATAGTGTGGCATACCTGGGGAAAGGTGTACTGGCTACAGCAATGGAAACCAAAGGTTAAAATCCTGCTTGACATGTTTCTTTTTTAGTGTGTGAGGACAGATTAACCCTCTCTTGTGACACTTGATGGGCTTGTCTGTTTAATATAGGCATGGGAGCATGAGCTGCCCATGCTGGTAACACAGGTCTGTTCTCAAGGCTGCCATATAAATGGGCTATCATGACCGCAGCAAGGACAGTGGCCTCTGGGGCAGGTAGCTGCTGCACTGGTTGCTGGTAAGCAGAGCATTCAGCAGTCCTTGCTAAACCTCATAAAGGTACTCACATTTTAGTCTTATTGTAAAGCAGGCTGGGGGTTGAATGCCTAAATTCTCTCTCCAAGGGAAGCAAGAATAAGAACAGCCGCTGGCTATCTGGAAAGCATTGAGAAGGAAGCATCCCAGTGTGACCTTGCATTTAGGGCTGGATTTTCAAAAGCCCCTAGTTCAGCAAAAGGCCTAACTTTAAGCCTGCAAGTCAGCTGATTTTTTTCAATATGAGTTGGGCCCCTAGCTCTCTCAGACGCTTTTGAAAATCTTACCCTTAATCTCTTAGATAGGTCTGAGCATAACAAGGTATTTAAGCAGGTTCCTAGTTTTGAGCTTGTGAGCTGTCCTCTCTGACTTCTCTAACGTTCTCAAATGTTGGCAGTAGTTATTACCTTTCGTAGAAAGAAATGAAGTTGATTTCAGCAGGACCACTTGTGTGTTTAAAGGTTGGCAGCTGGTTGATTTGAGATACTAATCACTTAGGCTCTGATCCTGCAAATATTTGCATATATAGTGAAGTGTGCTACTGAGAATGGGCCAGTTCACCTCAGTAGAACTACTCATAGTCATAAGGTTAAGCACTTGCGTAAATGCAAGCAGACTAGTTTTTTGTGCTCTCAGTCCCATCTCTAAACCGAGGATAATAATGCTCCTGACCTCCATTTCTCCTTTGCAGCACAGTTCATTCATTTCAACTCTAGTTATTTGATTTTCTTCTTTTGACCACATTGCAAGCCTTTCTCGTGCCTCACATGATAGGAGAGGCTGAAGGAGCTAGGCATATTCAGCTTGCAAAATGTTTCAGAGGGGACATGATAGCAGTCTTCAAATACTTGAAGGGCTGTCATGAAGAAGAGGGAAAGTACTTTTTCTGTCTTGCTGCAGAGAGGAGGACATAGACCAATGGCTCTAAGTTGCAGCAAAGTAAGTTGAGATCGGATATCTGGAAAAACTTCTTCACTTTTAGAATAGTGACACAGTGGGATAGACTGCCAAGGGAAGCTGTGGACTCTCCATCACTGGAGGTATTCAAGACGAGGTTGGACAGCCAGTGGTTGGGGATGATCTAGCCATAGCTACGCCTATGTTCTACTGTGGGTATTTCCCAGACTTCTGAGCTTTTCTGGTTGTCCCTGCTGCTCCCATCTTTCTGGTAGATGTGTTAGGATGTTTTTAAGTCTTCCTCAGAGGCATTAAGTGTTGGCTACAACCAAGGCTGGGGACTGGGGTGTCCCAATGCTCTTTCTGGGACCAAAGACAGAGGTTCCTGGCTAGAGGGTCTTGCCGCTGTGCTCAGGGTCCGACCAAACACCATATTTGGGGTCAGAAAATACCCCATGGTCAGACTGGTGTGGATTGTGGGGGCTTGTGTTTGCCTTCCTCCTTGGCAGGGGATGGGACAAGATCTACCTGGGATCTCTTGAGCATATGTTGATAACATTTCATAGAAGCAGGACATTGTCTACTGTGGTTCCCCTGCTTTACCTATAGCAGGTTAGTGTGTTAGGTCTATGTTGTGTCAAGGTTAATGTAGAGTTAACCTTATGTAGAGTTTAGCTTATGGATTGTATAGGATTGTTTGGATAGGGGTGCTCCTGCCTCAGGCAGGGGGTAAAACTAGATAACCTCTGGAGGTCCCTTCCAGCCCTACTTCTCTATGATAATGTAGTCTGTCACCTCATGGTAGAAAACATTAATTCCCTGCTAAACCTTACCAGCTGGTTCTGCCCTACCAGCTTTCTGTAGCAAAGGACCATCATTTAACATGATCTTGATTATATGTAATAGCTAGTGCATACTGGCTGTAACCCCATTGTGCTGGCAACTTACCAGAGGATTTCTCCCTTGAAGATCTCCAAAAGTGGTGTAAAATATGAATATTTTAAAATAATAAAGTATCCTGAATTACTAGCCTGGAACTGAGCCCATCACAGGGGCAAATATTTCTGTCTCAGTTACAGTGTGAGGAAGGGGGGGCTAAACAAAAAACAGCCAATGCCTTATCTGTTGTGAAAACTCCATTTAGTGACTTTAATTTTCATTGTAAATACTAACCACAGTCATCATTAGAAAATGCATGTCTCTTCTTTATAGCAATGGGCGAAGTTGTGAAGGGCAGACATTTCAGATTCTCATAAATGTGGAATTAAAGCATTGCTCTTAGGGAGATGGGAGATTGATGAAATATTACTAATTTTTATCAGCCTAATATACTTTTTGCAGTACCCTGCCAACACTGCTACATCTCCCTTCAGGTATGTTAGTTGTCCTTCTTGCACCGACCATTATTTTCTTTATTTAAAATGCAGTTCTCTTGATGGACCATGGAATGCATCTGGTAAATATAAGGGTCTACTACTTTAAGCCTCTAGTTGCATAATAAAACTGTTACTTGAGGTAATATTGGATCCAGTTCTCAGCACTTTTTTCTGACTCCCTGTGTGACCTGTTAATCTTCCTGAACCTAACGTTTCTAGTTGCATAATAGGGTGGCTATTTCTTTGCCCCCTTTACGTGCTTCAGGACAGGAACAGCATCTCACTATGTGTTTTGTACCTGAAACAGTGGGACCCTGATCTTGGTTGGAGCATCTGACTGCGTCTGAGATTAATAGTCTCACAGAAATCTGTGTGGCTATCTGAGCGTGTAAAATTACTCACCTGAGAGAGGCTTATGGCAATTTGGATTTTAATGCAGCATTAGTGGACTCCCTAGTTAAAAATAATAATAATAATTTAGCTTTTCAGGCACAAGAAGCAGGAGGAAACTTGGGGGATTGCCACTCAGGACAATAACTAGAAAGGCTTTTGACTGGGATGAATTTGGTGAACCCCATAGCACTACTGAAGTGATATAGTTCACTTCTTTGTGCACTGTAAAAGAATATCCTGGAGTGCAAGCTGATATAGGTCTCTGCAGGTTTTGCCTACATTAGTTTGAATGCTTAGCAGTGCCATGACTCAAGGACAACATGCTCTATCCATAGCTGAGCCCTGAATATCTGGATCCTCTCTTGTGTAGGGAAAAGAAATTGAACTGGGCCTCAGTGGAAAAGGGAATAATAGAAGAAATAAAGAGTGTGCTCGAGAAGTTAAGAGATGTGCTCCTTTTTCTGTGTGCTGTTTTTGTTCCTGTTGGGGTTGTTTCCACCATTGAGTCTAATTACTTAGCTTTTTATGCGCTATCCATTTCTTTTCATCATTTTAAAAACTTCAGTTGCTATAACAACATAATGCAATCAGTGAAACATAGCAGCTATTTTCTGTAGTTAAGGTCTGTGCGCTGTCAAGGATGTGAGCCATTTAAGCAAATCTTCCCCTTCTCCTCACCCCCTCCCTTTCCTTCTCTCTCACTCTCTTTTTTTCTAAACAAGCTCGTAATGGGAAGGATAAACCATCAGGAATAATTAGACACAATAGTGGAGGGAATCCCAATAGCACTAGTGCAGACTAGCCTAATGAACTTCTAGCAATAATCCTGGAAGTGTTGATGTTCCTTTTTAATCACTTCTTTGATGTCATAGATAGATTAGCTACAGCAGGACCTCAATAATTTGCACTAATGTCAGGAGACCTGTTGCGAATTAATGAGAAAAAGAATAAAACCCAAGGATTCATCATGGCAAAATATACTTTGTTCATTTTTGTCAATTGTCTTTTATTTCAAACATTAATGAATAGATGCACTCCCTACTATATTAGTTAGTATAATGCAGTCTGTTTGGTAAATTAATGGAAGTTTAATCCTGTGAAACTTCATAACATCTATTATTAAAGCTTTGTGGAAAAACTGGAAGAGACCTCCACAGTTTTGTGTGGGTAATGAGACATGCAACTTTATAGTGGAGCTGCTATAAGCTAAGCTTATATAGTGCACACATTAAAATAGCCTGAAAATAAACCTAGCAACCTGAGAGCTATTCCAAGCTGTGCAAATATCAGATCCATTCTCAATGTTTTACTCCTTGCTGTGATAGGTCTCAGCTTGACTTCAGTGGGAGTTTGCCTGACTAGCAAAAAGTGAACTTAAGAACCCATATAGCCTATATAATGGCAAAGCACTTAGCTATGTGCTTTATGCTATGGATGTGCCCCACTGCGCGAGGATCAGAGTGAAGATGGGATTAAGGGATGGTTATCAAGGTATTTCTTACCCATTCATTTTCTTTTCCTTGTTGCATTTGTTTCTCCAGCACACTCTCCAAGCAAAGAAAAAACGTCATCAGCTGTGTCACCGTGCACGATTCCCCCTACTCCGATTCCTCCAGCAACAACAGCCCCTATGCAGTGCAGCAGCGCGGGGGACAGAATAATGGGAACACTTATGACACAAAAGGGGTTCCAGAAACCCACTGCAGCGGGAACCCACGAACTATAATCGTGCCACCACTGAAAACCCAGGCCAGTGAGGTGCTGGTAGAGTGCGATAGCCTGGCACCAGGTAAACTGCACTTCTTGCCCCAGAGAAATAATAAGAAATAAACTATAATTTTTGAAGAATCTCATGGTTCAGGTTTTTTGTTTTTTGTCTTTTTTTCCTTTTTTTTTAAGAATGCTGTGCTCCTTCCTTTCTCCCACTTCCCACAATTTGTCCTTGGGGGGCATATTGCATTGCTGACGGGATGTACAGAGAGAGGGGCTTGAATATGGTTGGGAGTCGCAGGGTTAAATTGTGTTCTCAGTCACATTAGCAGTGATGTAGGAATAGTATGTAACCCCTAGTGCAAACCTTGAAGGTGAGCCTCACATCAGTGTCAGTCATTCTTGATCTACCCTTCAGTGTTAAATATGTTTGTTTTCAAATGGATGGATCCATGGAATTGTTTTCCATCTACACTTGCTAGTGTGTCCAGGAAGAATAATTCCTCAGACCCCTCTGGACTGGGCATGTCTGGCTGCTTAACTACATTCAGCTACTCCACTGTTTTGGATAACCCAGAAAGTTGAAAAGGGGACTCTTTGGTGGGCCTTGCCTGGGATGCTGGGCTGTAAGCTGTGTGAGGATCCATGTATTTCAGATGTTGCTTGTGTAGGACAGGCATCAAGACTCAGCGTGTTGGGCATCTCCTTGTTTTCCCTCTTTTCCTGCCTATTCAGAGTGAGGCAGACCAGGCAATGTGTTTTCCTTGCTCTCTGCCCCAAATCACTATCATTTCCTGCCCTCCTTAGCCTCCTGCAGTTCCCTCAGCAGATCAGTCCCTGGCATCTCCACAGGGTTTTACACACTCTCCTCCAGACCCAATTTGGGATTCACATGCAGAGTTTGTGTTGTGACCTCTGGGGCAACAGGCATGTTTATGAGCTCTCAGAGGGCACTGTTGTTCAACCCCTTGTAAGCAGGAGACAGTGTGGTGATTCTCCTTCCAAAAGTCACCTAGAGGAGACTCGGTGAGAGAAGGGTTGGGTAGAAAATATAAAATATGATTTAAGCTACAAATATGTTTCCTTTCCTGGCACAGTCACCACCAGTCACCACTCATCATCCTACAAGTCCAAGTCCTCCAGCACCGTGACCTCCACAAGTGGTCACTCTTCAGGGAGCTCATCTGGAGCTGTTGCATACAGGCAGCAGCGACCAGGAGCACATTTCCAGCAGCAACAGCCTCTTAATCTAAGCCAGGTAAGTAAACCGGGAAGGAGGCAGAATGTAAGCCCCTGAATCACTGTAGCAGTCTGTCACTTTCTACTGAAGTTAAGAGCCACGGAGGGTGGTGGATGAACCTGCTACAGACTGATGAAGACAGCCTCATCGTTTAGTCCTGGCAGTAGAAACTCTCACTTTTAGAACCACAGGTCCCGAAGTCCAGTGCTACTGCTTACCAGCCACCTGGCAGCACTGCATTGTACACACACAGTTTTTCAAAAGTAAGATGGCTTACTCTTGTTAGAGAAATGGATAACATAGGCAAATGTGTTGGTGCCTTGAATATAAGGGGAGCGGGATGGGATGGGGGGCTGGATTCATGTCAAGTATAGGTTCTTGAAATATGAGGCAGCCTTTCAAGTGATGATTGATGGGAAGAGATGGCGAGACTCTAGGTTTGAGTGAGGGAAAGATTTCCAGTCAGAGGTGGCAAACAAAGACTTAGCACATGCGTGCATACAGGACGAATTGGTAACTCATGGGTTTCAATGTAGTTGGTACTGATTCCTGATCTGTTTAAAGATGGCTTTTAATGGGAGCCAAGATTTAGATGTACTCTGATGGATGAATGTCATGCAAGGGCTAAGGTGGTTCTCAATCTGTTAGCAGCGCACCAAGGGTGCTGCCCAGGAGCCTCAGGGAAGAATCTCCTTTGTGTTCACTGTACCTGAAACCTGTCTCTTCTTTACAGTGAGGTAATTGCACTAGGGAAATAACAGCAAAATTTCCAAGATTTGAGGAGTGGAAACTCACAGTGAGTTTTTGGCTTTTGTACAGAGCAGAATAAAAGAAGAGCTGGTGAAAAATGGTGAAAAGTGTCCGGCAAGAACTTCTTCCCTCCCCCCACTCCTCCCAGAATTCAATTGAGCTTTTGAAAAAATTCAACCAGCGTTAAATAAAATTAAGCTAATGTGGTAGGAGGTGGAGATGATGGCATTGTGCTTCCAAAAGTCAGAGTATAGTGTGACTTGCAGTATTTTGAACAGAAAGATTACTGAAGAGGATAAAAGAGAACTGACAAATAGAAGTAAATAATAAAGTACAGCATGCATGATGCTTGTCTTCCAATTCTTGTTTTATGAGCTCCTTAATGGTTCCTTAATATTTTACCTGGATGCATAGTAATCATAAATGACTGAGATAAATCACTCAATGCAAGCCTTCAGTGGAAGAGCCCAGCTGAGAAAATCCATAGCGAGTGTAAAGAACGCATCTTGTCCCTGTGAAAAATAGAAGCAGCCTGTCCTCAAGAAGTTAGAGGTGATAATGGGAGGATACCAAAAGGAGAAAGTTTTGAGGATCTGGTAGGACAGGGGCACTGCTAGATGACTCTTAAAATGTTATCTTGCTAATCAAGGAGTAGCAAAACCAAAACTTTTAAAAAAGAAATAACATTGCCTCTGCCTGATTACAGGATTCCTGTTTCCAGGGCTGTTAGGTAAGAATCTTTCTTCAGCATTAAGAGGACTGTCAAGTTTTAAAAAGACCTGTGCTGTCTGAGCTAACCCATCTTACTGAAATACAGGGATCTAATAATGGGTCTTTATGTTAGCTGACCCTATTGGTAAGAGGGAGAACTGTGCAAGAAGGTACGACACCAGGAACTGTGCTCTAGTGAAGTGTTCAAATGTGCACATGGAAAATAAGGTGTGAGTGGGTTTTGAAGGGACCTTATGCAGCCCTGTGGCCTCCAAGGGAAGTTTATTTCGAGACTGAGACTTTGAGGAGTATTGGTTCTGGAAGGGACATTCAGTTACCCCACAGTGGTCAAATAAATAAATAAAATAAAACAAGCTGTTGTCTTGTAACTGTCTTTTATTGTTATTCTTTTTGTCCAGGCCCAGCAGCACATCACAACAGATCGCACAGGGAGTCACCGACGACAGCAAGCCTACATCACTCCAACAATAGCTCAGGCCCCATACTCCTTCCCACACAATAGTCCCAGCCACGGTACAGTCCACCCCCACCTGGCCGCGGCCGCAGCTGCTCACCTACCTACCCAACCCCACCTCTACACGTACACTGCCCCTGCTGCACTTGGGTCTACAGGCACCGTCGCCCACCTGGTGGCCTCCCAAGGGTCTGCTCGTCATGCTGTGCAACACACCACCTACCCAGCCAGTATAGTCCACCAGGTTCCCGTCAGCATGGGCCCTCGAGTTCTACCATCACCCACCATCCACCCGAGTCAGTACCAGGCTCAGTTTGCCCATCAGACCTATATCAGTGCTTCTCCAGCCTCCACAGTCTACACTGGATACCCGCTGAGCCCCACTAAGGTCAACCAGTACCCTTACATCTAAACACTGGAATAAGAGAGAGACACACCCACAAAGAGGGAGTGAGGTGGCTGCTTTTATATTGAAGAACATGACAAACAAACAATGCAATGAGAGGCTCCTGTGAAACTTGAACGAAGGAGTCTTTAAGGAAGAAATGAGAGAGGCAAGAAGGAGAAAACCAATTCTACACTTTTATTTAAAAAAAAAAAGAAAAAGGAAAAAAAGAACTGAAAAAAAAAACAAAAATAAAAAACACAAAAAAACCATTCTGCACCAAACTAGAGAGAGGGGGAAGCAGAAGGATCCCAAAGCTGGGTCCTGTGCTTTGGAGAACTTCACCAATAGACTTTTAAAGATTATTTTCATCTGATAGTGAGCTACATTTAATAATTTGTTGTCCAGAACGCCTAAAACAAAATCCACTAGGTTTTTAATTCAATAAATATATGGATTAGGGATTTATCCAGAATTTTGAAGGGTTTATGCCCCATCTTTGCACTGTTCTCCATAACCCTAATGGTGTGTGAGGTGTTTTCTGCAGAGAAGAGAGAGGGAGGAGTGGGTCGGAGTGGCGGGGGGAGGAAGGGACCATTCCATCACTAGAAACTTCGGCCCAGCACTGATACGCTTAAAACACACCCATGCAAAATGGAACGACTGTGACATTTGTCAAGATCAGAAGCAATGGGGCTATTTTCCCCTTTCTCTGAGCACCCTGGATAAATCCCTGAGAAATGTTATTCCTAAAAATCATCTTTAATAATGTATGTCAGATTTCAGTTTCTTGATTTTATTTGGAAAATTTATTGTTAATCCCTAGCCATTTTAATGTAGGAGTAGAAGTTTTAGCTGGCCCCCTACCCCCAGGTAGAATGTAGCACTATACAGTACATACACCCTTTTTACTATTTTGTGTTGAACTTCAATGATACCAATAGACTATTCCTCAATGTGATTGCACAAAAAAAGTGATATAACATAGGCATGTAACAAATGTGATTGTCCAGGTATGTGTGTGTGTGTGTGTGTGTGTGTGTGTGTGTGTGTGCGCGCGCGCAGATGCTGCCTTCTCTCTGTGGTGTGTTCCTCAGCACAGCCATTACAACTGTCACAGTCTTAGTTTTACACCATTCCCTTGTAGTGCCTTACCGAACTACAGATGCGGTTTAAGGGTTTACTTCCACTGGTACTCCTAGAAACTGACTGAGGCTAGTCGGAATTTAATCTCAGCTCTTCTTCTTTTGTTGTTGTTATTGTTGCTGATCATCTAGTTATTTTTCCCCCCATGCTGTCAATCTTAGATCATTTGCTAATGTGCAGGTATTGGGGAAGTTCATGGGAGTTGGAAGGGCATATGCATAAATGTCTGTTTAGCGTAGGATGGGCTAAAAGTGACCCTATTGGTCATGAAACCCAGTACAACTTCCTAAAGGGTGAAAGATTTCTTCTGTGGGTTGTTTTTCTTTTTTTTGTTTTTGTTTTAGTTTCTTGTTCAAATAACAAACTTCTCCATGTGAAACCTAATTCTCATTCTGCTGTTTGCTAACATTTGTGTCAGAGTAGAAGGACAGATTCCTCCAATCATTGCTGTGGAATATCGAGCACATTAAATAGTTTGTTTGGAGTGTGAACAAAGATTTAGCCCATTCAGTGGGGGAATACTGGTCCCTTAAAGAATTGTTTCACTAGATCTCCACAGATGGCAGGGAAAAAAAGGGAGCAAGAGCATGAGATAGAGATTCAGTTCAGTCTAGAGTGTCAGACTCAGGTTTGCTGAGTGCAGAGAGTACTTTGAGACATCAGGGCCCTACCCAGTGTAATGTAGTTCTGACTGTATTCATTTCCCCTCTTCCTCAGCCAGCTTGTACAAACAAGTTCCTGTAGTGGTAGAACGCCTTTTCCACTTGGTAAATTAATTCTTACACTGGGTCCTCCGCTCCAAAGGAACTATAAACGGTCTTGTTTTCAGATAGGTTTCCAAAGAGAGACTTTCTTACAATTGAGTGAGTTGGGGGCAAATCTCACTGATAAAAATGGATTTGCCACTGCATCAGTACTTATAAGTGTTTCTAGAATACCCACATCTGCTTGTGGGCTTGTTGGGAAGGAGAGAAGAGACCAAGAAAAGAGAGTTTGGTGGCATACTTCCATTAAAGTTCTTAAGTCTACATGGCTACTCAGTGCCACAGCTCTCCCTGTAACTACAGCAAGGCATGTTTACATTTTTTTTAATACGCTGGACAATGGCAGGTTGATTTGGAGAGAGAGAAAGAATGATTCCCTTGGGTGGAGTTTAGAACAAGGCCTCTCAAGAGGAAAAATTTCAAGAAAAGCAAGCAGAGCTGTACTATCTTGTCGTGAGCACTTGCCCTCCCTGGAAGGGATCTCACTATGCATAGATGGTTGGATAAAACTGTCTTCTTTTGGCAAGCCAGTTACTAACCTTTGCGTTTGCCATTTCAGATTCCTGCACTATCCTTGCAAAGTTTGATTTTCCCTTCTCTTCCTCATTCCCACAAAGTACATAAAGGATCTGATCTCTGAGCAGTCCATGCACCTTATGCCTTGCCATTAGAAAGACAACACTTTCCATTTATTTAAACCAGGAAATGAATTCCCCATTCTCTCTGTAAGTTTCCGTTGCATTCCTCTCCTATCCCATCAGTTCAGGAATGAAAGCTTCATGCTGCTTGTCATTAAAAGGAATAATATTGTTATTTTATTGTATGATTGTTATGATTATTATTATTTTAATATTATTATATTTTACTCTGGGTTTTAATTGCACACGCATTCCTGCATCTTTGTGTTATTTTTTTCTCTTAGTATTGTTGTTGTTGTTAATTGTATTGTGAATTGTTTCTCTCCATCAATGGCATCAGAAACTTTGCTGTGTCTGTGAGAAATGTAGGAAGAGAGGGAAACACACGGTCTGAAAAGGTAAATTGTGCTGATAGCATAGATGGAGAGCCAGGGCACACTGGCTGTGCCCTTGAGGGGATGGCACATTATACCCCAGAGCATGTCTGCATTTCAGCACAGTTCCAGAAACCCTCACTTAGAGGCAGAAGTGAGACAGCAACTCAGAGTCATTTTCCAGCAGCAAGATTGGACTGAAGGAAGACCAAGGCTGTGGGTCCATAAGGTCTGGCTCACCATCATCTTACAGTAGCTAATGTTGATGGGACACTTAAATCAGACCAAGACTCCATACACCCCAGTCATGCACTAGCCATGACCCAGTTAGCCTTTTAATTAATCCTAGCCCAGGCTAAATGTTAGGGCTCAGTTTCCCAGATGGGATAGCATAGGGGTAGCTTTTCATGGGGTATCCTGTCTGCCTACAAAACTCTAAATAGAACCCCAAAGGAGGAACCAGTGTACCTCCCAGTCTAGTCACTGGATAAATGACACTGAGAGACCGTGATGGTGTTAAGTAGCTAAAAATCCAGCAGCAGAAATAAAATGGTCCTGGCCTTGCTCTACCATTGCTGGTGATTCAAAATATGTCCATATGGCCAGCATACTTGGCTCATGGCTTTCTTCCTCCTCCATGTAGCTGGTCTTTTTTCTTTTAATTATCACTTAAGGAATTTTAATAAGCTTTTTTTCCCCTGTTGTATGGGATTCAGATATTTAAGCTTTCCATTACATCTCCCACCCTTACTAGAATGGTGTCATAGAGACTGCGCCCTGATTCAGGACAGGTTTATGTTCCTTTGAAGTCACTGGGACTTCAGCAGTTACTTAATCAGGTCTTTTTGTGCTCTGCCAAGTCAAGGCAGAGTTAAATGCTTAAGGATTAATGCTTAGATTCTTTGCTGAATGAGGTCTGACAGAGCAGGGATGGGAGGAAAAGTTGGCTTCCCTCTCTGAGGCATGTGGGATTTTATTTTTTGTGTTTTCTCAGTGCATGCTCTTTCACAACAGCATACATTTGATTTCTCTGGGAACAGGGTGACCATGATAGGATGGCACCCTTCTGTGGTGGGAAAGGATACATTGCAAGGTGGAAGGGGCAGTGGTTTATCCTGCTCATGCTAGGATTGCAATCTTCAAGCTGTATCTGTGGAGGAGGCTGGATTAGATGGCCCTTGAAGTCCATTCCTATGATTCTAGCTACAGACCTGATCCCAGCACAGTCAGGAATGTATTGAGTAGGGGTGGAGGTCGCAATAATAGTGAATGACGTCCACAGTCTGAATTGTATTTAGGTTGCAATGTTAAATGAGGATGATGGGTCAGTAGGTTGGAGCAAACAATGCCTCTGCTCCTACTCCCCTTTGAAAATATGGTTTGGTAAATAGTAATACTGCTAGCCAAACAAGCAGACTAAGATTAGAAAGGAACCAAGTGCTTAGTATTCTGTTGGTCCTGCACAAATAAAAATAGCTGAATTATTTAGCTTGCATAGATCTTTGGAGTTGAAAACAGGATTGATGTGTTTTGGAATGAGCTTTGGGTTCTTTGTGTGCATAAAGCAAACTGCTTGGCAACCTGAGGGAGGAGGTGAATGGTTTAGTACTGGAAGTGTTTAGTGGTGGTTCATGGTTGGCTCAGTTTAGAAGTGACCCCTTTCCCCATTGCATTGTCTTCGTGAACAGACATTGCCTCTTACTAGAGCTGGACATTCAAGCTGCTGAAACTGGAATGTAGAAAGAGGTGGAGACACTAGTTAACTAGAACAGAAAGAGAAAACAATGGAAAAGCTGGAACTTTTTTCACTGAAGACTGGTCAACTCCAGCTGTTTTGAGAAAACAGCTGCAATTGCAGCTCACTCATTAGAATTGCATATGCTTACACTGTGGCTGAATTTGACTATCTGGGTAGGTTTTACTCTTTCTCTCTCTCTAGTAGTTCTTTCACGAAGCATTCAAGCAAAGGGATGATTCTGTCTCTGATATTTTTCTTCTTTATAATCTCAAGGAACTATCCCTCAGAATTTGGCTTGAAAGAAATTCCATTACTAAACTTGAAGGGAAAGTAAAACCCTCCTTTTTTTCCTTTAACCAAAGAAACTTAAAAAATAGAGAGAGAGGCACCCCCCTCAACATTACAGATACAGAATTACGTCATGTGTCATGACTGTCAGGCAATAACAACATCCTAGGGAATTCCACATTTCTTTCTACCTTTCATTCTCTCTTCCTAGTTACTGCCACTTTTACATTTTGATTAGCTAGCTTGTTGAGTGGAGAAATTAATTCACACTAAATATTGCTGCTATCCTGACCTTTAGGGGACATCAAAAACTATTCTTCTATTCTACACTACTGCTATTCATACTAATTAAAGTGTATCCTGTCAGTGGCAGCAGTGCGGCATTTAAATTGTGAGGTGCAGAGTGGGAGTAAGTTTCTGTGTGCTCCTTGTGCTTCTGTAGCATTTAACTCCCCTGAGTTTTTGTTCTCTTATGGATCAGACTCAAGACAGTGGTGCATCTCCTGCAGCAGTGAAGCCTCTGCAAGGTTGGCCAAAAGCAATGGAATTGTTTATGGTTTGTGAAAGACTTGTGCATGTTACTGTGGTTTGACAGCCCAATAAAGGAATCATCTGTGCTGCCTACAGCCAAATTCTCAATACCTGTGTGCAAGGTCTGAGTAATTTTTCTTGTTCAGGTGATTCCTGACAGGCATCAGGGGAAATAATCTGGTCCTTCCATGCAGAAGTATTTGTGCCGTCCTCCAGCTGGTCAGTACGTTACAGTGTGCAGGTTGGGTCTGGGTCTCCAAGTTCTCTCTGTGGCCTGCCTCTGTGCATTAAATTGCTTCTCTGCATTTAAGACCTCTTTACTTGGGACAGGGCTGTGCCCATGTATCTTTAGTCTCTGAGTCCTTATGCTAGCATGTTCCCTTTGAAGTCAACAGGACTTTTGCCTGGGTATAGACCAAGTCAGGAACACAGGGCTGGGACCTAAAGTATCAGTCACATTGAGCAATTTACACTTCAGAATTTTAAAGCAATGGTCAAAAAGATTGTGGTAACAGTACTGAAAGTAGGGGTGTTTTGGCACCCTGCTAGAGCAACTTTTTAGAGAGGCATTCCCTAGGCTATCCCATGTTGTAAGTACATGGCACATCAGCCCTGAGGGCTGGAAGGACAGTCCTTCAATATATATCACCGTGTTCCTCCACCATCTCGAGAACAGAGCAAAGCCCAGTGTAGAAGCAGCTTAATTGAAGAAAACAGGGTTAGGGCTCATATAAATAAGCTAACCAAGGACTTAAGCCTGCTGGTACTTCTGCTCATGAATACCTTTACTCCCAGTGAGTTCAATGGAATCCCCCAGGTGTACAAATTTCATGGATTCATAGAAGTAGGATTGGAAGGGACCTAAGTAGATCATCAAGTCCTACCCCCTGCCCTGGGCAGGAGAGAAAACTGGGCTCAAATGACCCCAGCCAGGTAGACGTCTAGCCTCCTCTTAAAGACCCCCAGGGTAGGAGCCAGCACCACTTCTCTTGGAAGTTGGTTCCAGATCCTAGCTGCCCTGATTATGAAATAGTATCTTCTAATGTCCAGCCTGAACAACTAATGTCTCAAGCAACTTCTGGCCATTATTCCTTGTTACTATGGGAGGTGCACAGGTGAACTGGGTCTCTCCCATTCCCCGCTGGTCCCCCTGGTAAGTTTGTAGACAGCCACCAAGTCCCCTCTCAGCCTTCTCTTGTGAAGGCTGAACAGGTTCAGGTCCTGTAGCTTCTCCTCGTAGGGTCTGGCACACAAATTTGCTTAAGTGTCTGAAGAATTAAGCCCTAGAAGGCACAGTCTGGTCTGCAAAGGTATAGTCCTTTCAGTGGAAAAGGAAACACACAGGTTAAGAGTGAAATTTGAATGGGGAATTAATCTGACTTTCCAGGAATCTCATGAGGCATATGATGAGGCTTTGCTTTCTGCATCTGTAGAATAAGATTGAAAATAACTTTCTCCTGTACGGGTTAGCTTTGTCCTTCCAGTTTTAGCAGTGCTGCTATAACAGACTATTCATGTGTGTTTGAAGATAAAAGTTTTTGTTTTAAATCTTTTGCTTATCATAGTTAATCTAAGAAAGGCAATACTAAAGGTATATTTTTTTCCAAAAATGATATTTTTTACTGCACTGATAAATATTGTGACATCTCTGATCTTAATTCTTTAGTTGTGAGGGGAAGTATGTGCAGATTCACTCAAACCTTGTAAATACTTGTGTGTGGGTCTGACAGCCAGGGACTTTTTTTTCTTTCTTAAAAGTTTCCTCATTGAGACAGATAGCAATGGAGCAACAACACTGAGGGCAAAGGGAAAGCTCATCCCATTTCTAGAACGTAGCCAAGGAGTTTCTGCAGTGCTGGCACAGAGTTGATGACAATGCAGGTGTATGTTGATTTTTTTCCCCAGCAAATTGATTGGAAGGGAGTAAGGAAGTTAAAGAAAAAAATTTGGTCTGGAATTCTGATCAGAAATGTTATTCATCTGTTATATGGCACCTCTTAGTTTTTTTGTTTACTTGTTTGTTTTTCTATATCAAATGGTTCTAGGTTTGTTTGTCTGTGTTCTAGGTTACTCTATGTGTGTTCTAGGCCTGTCTGTGTTCTAGAGCTCATTGACTCCATTGGAAGCAAACCCACCTGATCAGAATTCTGGATTCTGTTTGGTGTTCAAGTTATCCTGGAATTATGGTGGAATACCTTTGGTTTTTTTAAAGAAGGGTTTAGATACACTTATATTACACAAACTGTGACCTAATGGCAATAATTACCTCAAATGTGGGCATTCATCCTGGTTTTAGCCTTTTTTGAAAACATGTAGCCAGCTTGAACTTGTGATTCAAAGACTATAAACTCTGTATGGGCGGAATAATGATAAATGCCCACCCTGGTCATTGTTGCTTGAGTGAAGTCTGAAGACAGTGATTCTATTAAAAAAAAAATTAAACCAAGGAATAGATTACTCTTTTATGTATTTTAATCAATTGTGATGTTAAAATGCACATGTAAGTATATATGTTTATAGCTACTGTAAAATGCTCTGGCCTTCTAGAAGTTATTTAAAGAGTCACATTTTAAACTAATATGAACTGAATAATAGACTATGGCTACTTAAACAATTTTCTGGCTACATTTTATAGTTATTACAGTGTTTTATAGTTTACATTTAAACTGGTACTTTTTAAGGGAATTTTGTTTGTAAATGACACCTTCAAAACTCAATACAGCTGCCTCTTTTTAATTTTGCCCTTTTAAGAAAAGAAAAGTACAAGTGTGTCTTTAATATGTATATTCTGTTTTAAGATATAACATAGTATTGGAAAGTCAGTACTGCTCAAAGAATCAAGCTTATCCCAAAATATGTTTAAGAAACCACTCCACATGTTTTGAAGATTTAGCAAATATAGTCCAACAGATGAGCTATTCATTTTTTTAATAGCATGTTTTATAGAAACTCTTCGTGTTGAAACAGGGAGCACTGTACTTCTAAATTAACTATTCTATGAAGGACCTTAAACTGGATGAAGATACCTGTATAATGAGAATGAAGGATATACAAAGGAAGGGATGTGTTGTATTGTTGATAATGTATTCACTAGACTATTGATTCCTGAGTTAGCAAAAGCCTGTTTTGTTTTGATATTTTGTGACAGCCACTCAGAGGCAATGCTGTAATTTGGCTTTCATTCCATTCATCAGCAAGTGATGCTGGCCACCCTAGGAACATATTGAACCAGTGAACTAAATACAGAATACACTGACCATCTCTTTCTAACCTTATTGACCAATGGCAGCGTCTATTGGTGCTGTTTCCTTGTTTTGGGTTGCATTTTGCATTTTGATGCAACCCTTTTTTCAGTCTCACTTAGCCATGAGTACCTGTCTAGTTCGGTTCTTGCTTTCTTTCAGTTGGGTACCCAGTGAACAAGGTGTATATGTCTGCTGGGCAATGTGGTACTTTTAGCTAATAAAAGTACAGGAACTGATATTTTAAAATATTTATATCTGAAGAGCTGAGTTTCCGTTGTGGAACTCTGGAAAGCTCTGCATTTTTCAGTGATGCCTGACACTGCTACATTTGGTGATCTTGGCAACTGAATGAGTTGCTGGTGAACAGCAATGATGTGTTGTGTTCCAGTATTTGAATTAAAATCAATGGCACAGCTCCTTATTGACTTCAGTGATTGATTTCTAGCTCCTCCATTAACTCCATTCAAAGCCATGGTTCCCATACTGTAACTCCTGCTACCAAAGTGATAGCTTATCACATGATTGCTGTTTTGCCATCATCCAAGCTCAATGCAGCCCTTAGGCTAACTGGAAAATGTTCAGCCCCTCTTAGCACACAGTTGCACAATCAACAAACACTAACATTTTGCCACCCTCAGCAACTGCCTATTCTGCTTTTTGTGATAGGAATCAGCCCTGGAAATAGGCTTACTCAGTTGAAGGAGCTACTGAGTTTTTGGAATAATTTGGTTTGGAACTTGTGAAGCAAGAAGGGGTTTCTAACACTGGCAATGCACATCCCTTAGAATCTGAATGGTTACATATAGCACCTCTGTCCTCAGAAAGAAAATACAATCTGCTACAATGCTTCCACATTAGGTGGTTACATACAACACTTCTGTCTTCTTTGCTTTTCCCCGTATTTGTTTTTTTGTTTTTGTTTTTTGTTTTGTATTCTTCTTGAAATGATACTTCCAAGGATATTCCAGGGCACAACCACTTCAGGTGTAAAAAGTATCTCCTCATCCCATGCGTTTCACCAACAAAGTAAACAAGGCATTTTGGGTACCAGATTTTACTTGGGCAGGATCAGAATGTAGCCCGTATATTTTATACCAAACCAAAATTCTGAAAGGAGAGGAAGTGTCATTAATAGCTTTATTAAAAGGAGAGAGAAAGAGAGAGAGAGAGAGAGAAAGAGAGAGAGAGAGAAAGAAAGAGGAAGAGAATGAAAGAGGGGCATCTTGGAAGTTGAAGAATCTAGAGTTAAGGTAGTTAAATCAATGGGTGAAACATTTTTCTGAACAGCAAGATCCTTTTGC